ATATTATATGAAACAGAGTTAAATTCAACTCTGTAGGTGTTAAAATTACACTTTGTTTTTTACTGTGTAACTCACACAATAAAAATCTGGAATCAGTGCAGGAGGTTGTTTAAAAGTACAGAATTATTATTGTATGCTCCAGTATCAAATTACCATATGTCTTTTTCTTCACTAATGGACTCTGTTTTCAATACTTGGAGTTTAAAGGGAATAACTTCTCTAAATGATCTTTATATAGACAATAAGTTCGCCTCATTTGAACAGTTAGCACAGACATTTGACATCCATCTTCAGGTATTTACAACTGAGACATTTTGTAATGTCAAGCTCTGGATGTTTTCCTCTACGCCCCAACTTCTCTTTATAGATGAGATTCTGATGTGTAAGTCTGTAACAAAACGCAAAAAAATTGAGCAACTTAAATCTTCCTAAAGAAAATCTATTCTATGGATAAAGAGATAGAAATAATAAAAATGTTCCCACCAATCACAGATTGGAACAAAAATTCTTCAAAACAGTAAAAAAATATGAATACATTGTTTGTGTAAAAGCCTTTATGACATGTTTTTATTGAAACTAGCAGCAGATTAGAGTCGAACACTGACATTTATTGAGGCAATTTTAACATTTAGTTTCCTTTGGCACACCTGATGTCTGATGTGTGCTTATCTTATCAGCTGTTGCAACCAGAACATCTTAAAATGTTTTTGTTTTTGTTTTATCTGCGGACTGAAAACGACCACAGGTTGGAAGCTGAGCCTCAATCGGTCTGTTAGCGAAATACCYCTGGGTCTGTTTTAATTAAACTTTTTAGTGTGGCGGCAGAGTTTCACCTCGATCTCCTGCAGCTGCTCCTGGCTGGTGGTGCACATCTGCTGCAGGCCCTGCTCCAGCTCCCGGTTCCTCTCCAGCAGAGACTTCCCCAGCTCTGCAGCCAGCTGCAGGTCTGCAGGACGGACACAGATAGTACACAGCATCAAGACATTATGCCCAAAAAACAAACATAGAAGCAGTGGTATGTTAAATCCAAACAGAAGCAGGATAATTGTATGAAAATAAATATACAGAATTTAAAAAATAAACGTTCAAAGCAAGATGGCTTAACTTGAATTTTGACAAAATGTAAATTTTCCAAGCCAACATTAAAGTAAGCARATACAAAACAAATAAGAAGTAAATGATCAGTTACATAGCAGCTTTGTTAGTAATATTAACTAAAATAGTCTAAAATCTAATTTCTCAGGGAGCCTCATTTTAACTGTTAAATCTAGGCCATATTAAGGTGAAAGCAGAAAATTATTTGTTTATTTATTTGCCGCATTTAAGACTTCTGCTGACTCCTGCCTTTTTTTCTGCACCCTATAAAACTGATCTAAACTCACATTTCGAACACCGACTAGAAATAAAAACGACTAAAACAAATTCAATTTGTGCAGAAGATTGAATTTATACAAATCTGACCTCCTCGAAGGTTAAACATTTAATTATAATTAAGTGCAATATTTAAAAAAACAATCCGCTGTTTTTCATCCTACTTTACATATACAAATATGGGTGTTTTTTTATTTATTTATTTTTTTGTGTGTGTTTAATTTTTATTGTAAAGACATAAAGGAAATGTACCATGTTCAAGGTCCTGCTTGTCGTACCACGGTTCCTCCTCCTTGATCTCAAATTCCTCCTCAACGATCATGTCCGACAGCATCTTCAGCTCCAGGTTCCGCTCGGTTTCATAAAAACATGGTTCTCTTTGGTAAAATGCGGACTAAAAGGACCAGTGTCCGGCTGAGCCGGCTCCAGTGTGCGGCGCTCAGCGGCAGACAGAGGCTGCGGCGCTGCGCTCATAACCGGCTTCCGGTAAGAACTTTCAAAATAAAAGTTGCAGAATATTTATTC